ATTTTATTGTTGACTTAAAATTTAAAAAAAAAATAAAAAAAAATATTTGTAGACAATGCAGTCCATATTTTGGTCAGTAACAATTTGACTTAGAGATTGTGTTTGAAAAGGCCTCTAAACAATGACAGATGTTACGATTTTATTTCGTAAGATATCCCTGTCATCATTTATAAACTCCAACTTTTCATTTCACAGATCTCAGATAGAGATATTTAAGAGATAAATTTTACCGTAACCAGCCACCTTTCTTTGTTGAAACTGGCCCTTATACCCGTTGATATTTAATTAATTATGTAATTGCTCAAAATTCACCAAAAGTTACAATTTAAAATTGAGCCTTAAATTGCAGTTACAACATTTTAAACGCATTCCACTTAAATTGTACGTTTTGACCAATGTTAATGGAATTTCGCGTATCATTAACATGATTCTGTCACGCGAAAAATGCCATAAGTATTGCTGTGTTATTTTCAAAATGAGAGAAATCGGAGCGGTTTTAATTGCGTTCATTTGTCAACGGGCAAATACCAACTTAAATTGTATCATTGCGGCCGTTCAAAAGTGAAACTGGTTTAATCAATCAGTGTTTCTTTAGATTATTTTGTTTAATGTTGTTGTTTTGTTATTATGTTTTATTTTAATAACTGCAATTGATGTTACGTACCTAATTAAGCACAAGTTGTATTTAATGATAAAAAAATGTAATAAGTATAATATTTACACTATAATTAGATCTGCTGTTGCAGGTTTCAATCTTGCAGTAAATGTAATCATGAACAACAATGTATGTACGTAAATTCATATGATTTCATATATTATCCTAATCTAGTCGCGGTATACCTACTTGTGTAAGATAATTTGTGTAATTTTAAGACCAAGAACTGGAATGAGGGTTTTCACGATTGAAAAATCTGCGTGATTGGTGGATTTTGACATATCTGTCAATGTCATGTCAAAAAATAACCAATCATGCAGCATTTGGACCTCGCGTCTACGTATTGCCATCTGGCGGATTTTTCAATCGCGAAAACCCTCATTAGCACTATTAATAATTTTGAAATGATTCTCGTATTTACATAAGTAGCTAAGTAAGTACATTTATGTTTCATGACCCGATCTGTGTGCCTACCATGAGTTTACGGTAGGTGTGCTCGCTAGCGACTGCGTAAAAAAATGACATTTAAATGTATGACATATTGTGCAGCGCCCCTAGCGGCTACTTTCAAGATATAAAATCTTCATATAATTTTTTGACGTATTCGCTAGCGAGCTCACCTAACGTAAACTTATGGTAGGCACACAGATGGTAATACGTAGACGCTAGGTCCAAATGCTGCGTGATTGGTGGATTTTGACATATCTGTCAATGTCATGTCAAAAATAACCAATCATGCAGCATTTGGACCTCGCGTCTACGTATTGCCATCTGGCGGATTTTTCAATCGCGAAAACCCTCATTAGCACTATTAATAATTTTGAAATGATTCTCGTATTTACATAAGTAGCTAAGTAAGTACATTTATGTTTCATGACCCGATCTGAACCCGCGACGGTTTTGTTCGATGGGTTTGCCAATTCGGACATCCATAAGTAGAAAATAAATATTATGTAGAGGAAAACAGAATCCATCAGTATAACACTTATTATCAGGCTGTTTAGTCTCCACTACGGAGCTCGACCCTCTCTAATTTACCAGAGCCTATGAAAGATGCAATGAACCGCAATAAGTAGCCAACGAACAATACTAGACCGTACATTTGCTTCGTTTTCCTATCGACTCATCATTTTCGTCGATTTTCTCGATTATTTTCCCTATTCGGATCCTAATCGATTATGTTCTTGGTAAATGTATCGTGCAGTTTGTCCGTGCGTGGATATTGTCAGCGATCACTTTCTATCGGCGGCCTAGCGCGTAATTACTGTACACCCGCGGGTCTATCGAATGACCTGTTTTCTTTTAGTGAGAAGAAAAGTGTAGTGAAGTGTGGGCGGTCACTTATAAACAAAACATTAAGGCTGGGTTGCACCATCTTACTTTAACTTTAACAAACGTCAAAAATCTATCAAACTCCATACAAAAAACACCCGTTATCGTAACAGTTACGGTAAAAGTTCTTTTGTGTATAACTTAGGCCCAGAACAGACGGTGAAACGCAACTGCAACGAAACAGCAACTCTGATGATTCTGATGAAGCTATGGCAGTAACTTAGATGCAACTCAAAAGTAACTAGCAGTTGCAGTTTCGTTGCAGTTGCGTTTCACCGTCTGTTCTGGGCCTTAGCCTTAGAATATCAACCGCCTTGTAGTCTAGTGGTAAGACCTTCTGCTTCAGACCCAGAAGTCCCAGGGTTCAATTCCCAGAAAGAGCAAATTTTTCTACTCGGTTTGGTTGGTGATAGGGCTTGCCTTAAAGTCCGCCTAGCCGGCTACCATCTTATCCAAGTCTGTCGCCATAATGTTACAGTTTGAGGATAGATAACCAGTTCCTGTATGCATGAGGATTCTGAGTAAAACCTTTCACCTTCTGCCTGATCATTAATTTCCATCAGGTGAAATGTAGACCAAGAGCTTCCTCGTTGAAGCAAAAACAAAATAGTGTTCGTATTCGTAGTGTAGAGTGTATAACGAAAAGTGAATCATGTTTTACCGATACGAATACGATCGTTCACAGAATGCACTGTTAACAGAAATATCTATTCGACGAAAGCACGTTTCGCGGAAACCTCTCTTCAAAAAGCACGCTCCGTCAAATTCGACTTTTAGAAAGCATCCTTAGAAGAAAGAAATCATTATTTTTAGACACAAGGTGCTTTGACTGTTTTTTTTTTTTTTCTAGCGTATTTATCTATTTTTTTTTTTGCAATGTACCTACTTTGTTACTTTTTCTTTACCTAATTATTAAATTAGAGGCACCTCAGCATTATCACCTTTCATCGGTAAGTATATAAGTAGTTTACTAAGAATCTTTTTGCTGTTATCATTATTTATGTTTAGGAAACATCATATTATTTGGGTTCATAGTAACTGTACGAGTATGTACCTAAGTATACATAGTAACATCAATTATCAACAATAAAATAATGTAGGTACGTATTTCTGTACCTAAGCAAATAAAACAGACAAGTAAGGACCCGTAATCAAATATGTATGGGTAAATAATACCCTTGTTTCAAAACTTCATCCATCGAATTCACTAATCTATATCTAAAAGGTATAATCTTGCCCTTCGATTTTCGACTACATTGTTATTAAGGAACATTTATTCAATTTGTTTCTAGGTAGCTAGTGAATTTCTCTTCAAAATTAGAGAGTTGCTTATGAAAACAAATATTCATTTATTGCCAAGGCCTTGTTTAAGTAGTTCACTAATTTGAGCAGTGAGTGATGGGTTTACTATACGAACTTGTGTTCCATATTTTTGTTACGATGTTTGATAATAGGTACATACTTAAAAATAGTTTTTACGACTAAAACTATTCTTCTTCCAAGTATTACTTACCTACTTTACTTACCAACATTGTCAAAATCGGTACATCACATAGGCGTTTTAAAAATGTTTGAGGTTCAACAGTTAACACTAACTTACCACAAACAAAGATGGATCTACTTTCGCTTCAATAATCTTCTTGAAGATATTAGTTTCAATTATAGTTATTATAAACTTTAGGTGACCACTATATTACAAAAATATGCCCATAAAAAAGCTATAAATATTTATCTATAAGATAATTTTCTCGCCTGGCCTGCCCGAGGCTCTGGCGTAGATTATAATTTAATCCAGTAACTTAGGCCGAGGTAAATTTGTCTCAGATGACACTTCTTAAAGATAATAAAATAAGAGTATGATGAAACCCATTTTCGGCTAAGTAATCCATCAAAAATATTACTTAGTTTTTGGGATTTTCATTTATAATAGATCTTATAGCTATTAGGTTAATGTTATTAAGGTTTTAAGAACTTTATTCGTGTAGAGCCGGTTTTTATTCATACAAGTTGTATTTAAAATCCCATCACATTTTAATTGTATCTTTGTATGTAATTATCGCACAGAATAGTAACCTAGCCTTTAGGTAGGCTTAGGTTAGTTACGGGTCATGTAGATTGATTACAAAAGTACATATAATTCGAATTAATATAATTATAAATACCTGTTTATGGTCAAATAAAATTATTTTCATTTTCCTTCTTAAATTGATAGGTAATGACATTATAACTTCTGTGTTTCAATAAATATTAAAGTTGCTCAGTCTGCTAACTTCGGTATTTATATTTATTTTTATTCATTTCCAATGTAAGATGAAACCTACTCCTCTACCGATCCATTTATCACAAACATAACGCAACTGGAAGGCAACATTCAGACTTACTTAAATATTCAAAAACCTAAATAAAAAAGGAAAACCTTATTTTGCGAGAGCTGTTGGGTCTCCTAATGCTTAATTTTTCTGCGGTCTGAATTTAGGCCAAAAACTTGATTAAAAATTAAACGACTTTTAACGATTCACTTTAGTCGCTATCTTTTTGTGCGTATTCTTTTGTTTGAATATAATTATCTTTTTATTTGTGTCAGAATACCTTAAAAAGTTTTTATAAAAGTTGGGCGAAGGAAATAAAGTCGGCGAAACTGGCATGTTATTATTGCGTTTCAAAAGTATGAATAATTTATTGAGCAACCAGAAGAGCATTAGATAAATCATAGGTTACTCAATATGAATTTACTGCCTGTGTAACTGTCTAAATTTTTTTCTCTGTCGCTATAACATTTTGTTCAATTATGCAGCTGATACTTTATGACGCAAAATAACCATCGACGTGATAATAAGTGGTCTAAGTAATTTTAACATGTGTCTAATCTCTTTAATAGCTAAATTATGAACTTGAAATCATGCAAGATAAGTGGAGCAATTATGATAGCGTCAATATGTTCCAAGGAGTTCAGGTGCTATTCGTAATTATTCTGCTTGCAAATAATGGCAACATTAACTCGTTATTTACTTACAAGATTAACCTCCTTGCTGCTTCGAAACGACACTAAACAAAAAAACTTTAAAACTTTTTAATCTACATCGTTCAACACTAAAAAAGTTAGTCAAACTTTTTTTAAAGTTTAAAAACAATACTGGCCAAAACAGTTTTGTCAAGTCACATCGTTTAGAAACATGTTTTCTTTTGTTTTTGCGGTTGTCAAAATTGGGCGGGAAAATCGCGCGCGCGTTTGCACTGGTCGGCACGGGCGCTCAACGGCGCGGGTTGACTACGAGTGAGGCGGTATGGAGTTAAACTCCCGCTTCGTCGGTTCATCTGTGGCTATCCCGGTAGGGCTACAACACTGTAAGCAAGTGGAGTAATAAACATGTAGAGCTGTTCGAGTAAGTAGACAGTGAGTTAGTTTCATATTTTGTAGGATAACTATTTCGAAATGAAGACAGTTTGATAGTAGTCGGTTTCGAGAAAACCTTTTGTAGTTTGATCGAAAGTTTCAGCTTTCATAAATGTATATTTTTTTATATTACTTTTCATTACAAGCACATCTTCCTAGCGTAATATCTTATCAATAATACTTGACCGTTTAAAATAGTGATTAAACATAATAATATTTACTTTAACTTTTAGGTAATAAATATTTCCTGGAAAATCGACCAACATCATAAGTGCCACTTGTGGTCTAAACTGAATAAATATTTTTTATTCTATGTTGGTTGATTTTACTAAAAAAAAAATATACTCTGATCAGTATTAGAGTATATTTTTTGTTAGACAATATCACCGATTACACAAAAATTTAATAGTAAATTAAATACTTGACAATATTAGTGGGGTAATTTTTTCTACCATAACTACTTTGAATGAAAGACAGTTTGATGGTAGTCGGATATTTAACTGGACGCGGTAGTTCAGGCAGTAAATAATATAGTAGGTATACAACTATCATCTTATTAGCCTATTCAGAGCGAAGCATAGGTCTCAGAAGAGCGCTGAATAATTGATGAATCGTTTAATCAATCCAGGTCTTGACTTAGGCCCGGTTTTTTGATTCGTAGTTAAAATAACAAATTGTTAAATTTTGCTACTAATGGTTAAATATTAACAAAATGTTAACTAATAGTTTAAAAATGTATTAAAAGTCAAGCTAACCATTGTTCAAAAACATTTTTTTCTAATATTTAACCACTTGTCATTTGACATCTGTCAAATTTGACCATTGGTTATTTTAACTACGAATCAAAAAACCGGGCCTTAATCAAACTATACTATATAATAGCTAGGTCATTATGTATTTCTCATATCGTTATTACGTAATTTGCATAATATTAATTTTAATAAAACGCTCGCAAAGCTTTACTCTCATGCAGTTCTAGCATCATTAGAAAAATCCGGTCAAGTGAGAGTCGCAATCAAGTACTGAGGATTCCGTACACTTCTCCTTATTATTTACCTTTACACCCGTATTCACAAACATTACTATGAGGTCTCACAGTGCGCGTGGACGCACAGAGTGACACACGAACCAACCATAGAGATCTATTCAACGCTGTGCGTTCGATTTGCTGCTTCACATAAGCAAGCATCGTGAATACGGGCGTTAATCTCTCTCCTCACAAGATCCATGTGATTTTCGTCTTTCCCTAAGTAGGTAAGAACTGCAAATGCATATATAAAGCATTGTAATAGAAAAAAATACTTTTATTACATATACAGGGTGGAATATTGTGTTATATTTTTGTTAATTCGATTAGTAACTAAAATCTGTTAAAAATTACACCCTGTATTTTTATTACATCGATTGTTAGAGCTAAATATAAGGATGAAATCTCTCTAACAAACTTGATCAATCAATTGAAAGGAAAACCATGAAATTTTAAATTATTTTAATTACCTATTTACAGAAAATTTTATGGTATGGTAGTGAATTTTCGAAAAAATTTCGAGAATGTTTGAATGCAGTTCTCTTTCTTTTCAAAAATAAAGGAATGTTTTCTTTAATATAATTTTCTATCTACTGTATTAATAGTAGGTACTTTCCCTCCAGGTGGCATTACAAAATTCCACCCTGTATAAGATTTACCAGATTTCATGATGATAATGTTGAATGGATGAGAACTTATATGTCACTTGATCAACTTACAAAATAATTATGTCAACACAATATAAGATAGGATTTTATAGACTAAAAGGCATTTATAGTCACGATAGCCGAACGATGAAGGGGTCGGAGTCAGTCGATCCTCGAGATCCGAGGAACGCGGGTTAGAATCCCACTCGACTCTTGTGGTGTGGCCACTCGTATCACAAGCTTATTTAGCTTAACATGAGGGGCTAATGGGACTATTAGTAATTTGGGCAATACAAATTGCTAATAATCTTTTAAAAAGAACATAATTACTATCACATTACCTTGTGCATGTAAAATTAATTGTATTTGTATTTATTTTAGGCTCCGTTGATTAATAAGTAATTGTAACAATAGAGCCACAGAGCTCAAATTCAAATTGACCTCTACACGTGTTCATGAGAATCATGAGTAAATCGCTCCCCATTCACGCGTCAAACGGACAACGTTGGCATCCTAATTGAGTCCAGATCCCCAGAAAACTTGAATCAGCCTATTTTTACACAGATGTCTAAAATACTTGTCCGACTATTTTTAACGTAACTCGCAGCCCTAACTCGGTCAGTGATTTTTAAGACACCCCACTCCACGGCAGTCAATTAAGGAGATTACCCAAGATTGGACGGTGACCGATTTAAAATCCTCGCTAAGCGCCGATCGCACTTTTCCATTTCGAACGCTTCCGTATTTCACTTTGGGTTAGGATGAAGGACTGATCCTGAAGCTTCATTAATTTTGAAATTCGTTACATTGGGGCACTTGCCCTTGCCGCGAAATTGTCAAACCTCGATAAGAAATAACTGGTGAGCTTATTTGTATGAAGAGATTTTTCAGCCTACCAGAGATGTGGATGCAATCAATTTATTTCGTATTTATTTATTACTAGTTATTTATGTTAGTCTGATTCATAGTCTGATCAGACACCGGCATATCACTTATTATGAATTCTATAATGGTGCACAAATAATAATTAATTTTAATCGGATGATTTTGTGCTACCAATCCCAGGCATTTATGAAGTTCTGTTTCATGTGATTAACAAAAACAGTATTGCAGTAATTTGACTAGAAAACAATTTTACAGCTTATCTCGATATGATATTTTATAGGTAAGTAACTAACAATAAGATCAGGAAAAATACACAAATGTCACTTCAGTGTCTAAGGCTGAGTTGCACCTGTGGTTGCACCATCTTACTTTAACTTTGACAAACGTCAAAAATCTGTCAAACTCCATACAAAAAGCACTAGTTATCGTTATAGTCACGGTCAAAGTTAGATGGTGCAACTCATCTTAAGTATCTAGTGTGTTAAAAAATATACAGCTGAATTCAGCTGATGTTTCTTAGAACTACATAACAAACGCATCTGAGCATTCTGAGCCCTTTGCATCAGCGGCCCCCCGAAACCTTAACTGGGTCATCGGTTCACCGAACGAGAAGCTACCCCTTGATTGACATAAATGAGACGTTTCAATCATTGTTACAGAGGATTTTTGAATTTTGTTAGTATAGATTATTTTAGAAACAGACCACGCTACAGATTAGAGTTTGAGTTAAATATTATGGCAAAAAAAATCAACCTGATAAAGCTCTGAAACTTAACACAATGTAATTATTCTAATTTGTATTAATACATTTAAGGGGACATTCATTGGCCGCTAAGCTTTTTTCACAAAATAATAGGCTTGGAGAGTTCTTTTAGATTGTTTCATTTCCATTTGAATAGGGTTAGAGAATCAATACAGATTCAAATCAAGCGGCACGTTTACGAAACCCGATATTAAATTTAATCTCATCGGTACCTACCCATTTTATTTCCACGTGTTTCAGCCCATTAAAATAGCTACATCCATAGTCTATCGATACTAACAATAGTCGATATAGTTATATCGATAAGAAATGTGTTCGTTACATTATTATTTAAACCTAAGTATTTCAAGTAAAAGAGTTTTTGTTAGGATTGAAGTCGCAACCCCAGTGTCAGATGATATGAACCGGTATATCCGTCTGACAAAATTAATCAAAGTTCATCGTCATCATCATTCAAGCCTGCAATATCATGACCAAATTGCCAATATTACTTGTGTCCCACCTGATAATTATTTTTATTGTCGATACTCTACACCTTTTCACCGCCAACCATCGACAGCTATCAACACTACATTAAGCCTTAATTGTATCAGCGTATTAATACCCAACAATATCATATCCCATGGCACAGTTGGAGTTTATTGAAAATGTTGGGAACGCGGCAAGTGTCGAGTTTGACCTCAAGCGGGGAAGTTTGCCCGCGACTGTCCCGGAACATTTAGGACTATGTTGTACAGACAGATCAAGCAAACACTGTGTCTTAAGCAGTCGTATTAAAAGCGATTTTGCAACAATAATGTAGAGTCATTAATGTGGTCGCGACTGTACGTTTGACGTATTTGAGAATTAGAGCGATCCCTCACTAATATGTTTACGTCAAGCTTGAACTGAAAATGTTACAATAGATTTACGGTCAAACAATTTACAATAATCTTGGCTTTATTGATTTATCTAGTGAGCAGTGTTGTAAGTTTGTGCCTGAATCACCTAATTATTTCTAATTACAAAACTTATTGTAATATCATGAAATAATGAAAAATCGTTCCATAAATACCTAGACCAAAACTAGGCAGAATCTAATTATAATAATGAGAACAAGGTAACGGATAAACATACAGATAAATAATTAAATGGAAATAGGATAAGTGTACTACAAAAACGCCCCTTCCCCTTCCTTCCGGATACCTTATCATGATAACAATAACCAGTGGGATTTGAACACAACAACAGCTGACCTTGAAGTCCACATAATAATAAACAATTAGATCCACACGGATAAAAATACCTCGTAGTGATCACTAGAATTCTGGTAAACCCAACAAAATTCTCGTGCTATACGTGACAGCAAGAAATGCATTGTATCAAATACAAATTCTCATTTTTCTGAATTGACAAATTGCGATGATTACAAGAATGTACACACACACACACACTATTAGTTTCTAGTTCGTGGGACATTTTTGTAAATTACTAATCGTTCTAGTAGTCTCGTAACTCAAAATGTCTTTCAGTGTACCTACACACGGCCACAGTGTTAACTATCCATTCCCGTTTTTGCTCTCGTCGTCGTCGTCGTCGTCGTTTCAGCCGAAAGACAGCAGTTTTTGC